AAACGAACCAATTGTCGTATTTAGATTATCATTTTGGTTGGAGCACACGTCCTGGGCAGCAAGGGCACTTTCCGAAAGAACTTGTAAGTTACAGAAGTTCACTATGTCTTTCGAATGTGTCACCTGCACGGAAACGTGTCTATGACAATAGAAAATAAGCCAAACAAGACATAATTTGCTTCGTTAATGGTTGTACTATAATACAGCGATCGATACGAAATTGACACCATTATCACACTTTAATAGGGGTCTGTCTTTGTTGATTCTTCAATGCGGCACTGCTCGTGCCGAGTCGCGCATAAAAAAGAAGTCAACGAAGATGTAACAAAAATCTTCGTACAACTACATTTCTTGCTGCTGAAGTCCACAACAGTATATCAGCGTTAGTTTTAGGTAAAAGCATAGTTTAATATGTGCAAACTATTAGCTTCGTCTTTACAAACTTTTTATTAATTATTTCTAGAATTATTATAATACACAAATCTGTAATACTCATCAGCGCCTGTTCCGTACCTGCCAACTGGGTTGTCCCGACAACTGAAATAGTTGGGCAAACCGGGAACGATGTCGAGGATTTTGTGGCCACAAATTTTCGATGTGTTTGGATAATGGCTACCCACTCGTATCATTACCGACACGTTGAATGCTGGTTCTCCAAATAGGACAGTGATTAACTAAAATATCGATAAGAAAATATACGTTCCTTCAATTGAAATTGCTGCAACTATACTGAAATGCACATATATCCATATCCACTTAGAACGGTTTTGCCCTTTGTTGTTCCCGTTTCGAGCGCATTCATGTGAAGACGTACTACACCAATGTTCAACAATACCTTTAGGAGTTCATCGAGCGAGCCCGTAATCATCCTATTTCTTAATAGCCTGGGTAGCGAAAATTCACCGCAAGTATTACATACCTTGACCGTAGTGGGCTCGATTAGGTCGACGATCATTGTGTATTTTGCATGTTTGGTCTTCGATGCCACGCAACTATTCTCATCATGGTCAACAGCGTAGCTCGCATGTGTATAATCAGTATCGAAGAACACTGGTTTTTCCAACGCCATATTGCGTAGACACTTCGGAACTGGATTACGCCATTTTCCGTTGTCGCATTGCCGCTTCTTCATGCCAACCAGCGTGTAGCCGGGATCACAGGAGTAGCTATGCGCGTACACACAGAATAGGTAAATATGGATAGAAACATAGTGCGTGTTGAAAAGAAAACTGTATTATACTGGGCTATGGTGTGACACCGTTTTTTAGGCACACGGCTCTATGCTATCGACACCTAACAACGTGAGGCTTTGTCAAGGATCATTCGAGGTGTGCGTTGAGCCTTTACTGAAAGTCACAACGTCGAATACGTGAGCTTATTGTAAAAACTACTGTTTGGTTAGGATATATATCCTAGTCCTTCTGCAGGAGCTATAACACATATAGACTGTCATTACTTCTACAGAAAAGGTTCAAAGGACAAAAACGAACTTATGAGAACTCAATAATCATTTCAGAACGATTTTTCTGCTCATAATCAAAATACGTACGTGTATCACAATTCGGTTCACTAAAGAACGCTTATGAAACACTGCGTTATGCCAATGGTAATTGTCGTTCACAAAATAACCAAAAGCAATTACCTGACATTGGTTTTATGAGGGAATTCCCGCTTGTTGGCAGGTGAGATCAACGGCTCGACCTTTCCATGCCATGGTGTTCCAGGAAACCTACAAGGTTTTTTCACTTCTTCTTTTACGTCACTGATGAACATGGCAGAAGTCTCTGAACTGATGAGCAGAATCACGACGAGAAAAGCACAAACCAATCCCCACTGGATAGCCATTTCAGGTGGATCTGTTGTCCACGAGAAAACAGCCCCCGCGCGCCGATCAAGCTAACTTAATTCGGGTATTTATTCCACTAGGTTTATAGGTCACGAGGATAGACAAAGCAAGGACTACTAACTCATGTACGCCGCCATTTGTCGAATACAGATTATCCTGTAACGCTTGAACTGCGCCAACGTGGTCACAGTCGCCTGATGTCACAAGAGAAATGAATGGCAAGCCAAATGACAATCGCTTTCATGGGATTATTTCGGTTTATATGCATCTCAATTCATTGATGCTTAGCACTGTCCCGATACCCTGTTAAAGAGAACGAGGACAAAGTAAACAAGTTCGAGAAGAACGAAATCTGAGCAAAAGATAGATTGGCGTAGATCGGTGTCAAACAATAGTTCCGATCCTATTTAAGCCTGCCGGTCATAGGTCGTTCTAAGTCACTGACGCAAGTTTTTTTTCGAAAAAGACAAACGCGCTAAGTACCGCCGGGACGTTTCACGTATCAAATGTGGCGTTCATGATGTGGTTTTCGGAACGATAGCGAGGCCACATTATAGCAGACGCCTGCAGGCTGCCCTGAAAGTTGATGCCTGCGTAGCCGAGAAAACGATTAGACGCTTTGTTGTCAGATTAGTAACCGAAGTCTGCTGTAATGCATCGTTCTCGATGCGTACAGCGAAGTGAACACAACATATGACGATAATGATGATTGATTTCGATGAATTTCGGTTTCGTTAGGTAGAAGACAAATTATCATCGTTGTATTGTTGGAAATGCCTGTATTGGGTGCAAGGGCCCACGGTATCAGTAAGAAAAAAGAAACATCACAAATTGCAGTTGGTATGAATTTCCTCAGATATATGAATATTGCTCCCAATAGCCCACGAGCCTGAGGTTCCGGTTATACACATAACGCGATATAAGTCTTCCTTTTCATTTTTAAGCGACGGTAAGGCCAAAAACGCATCTAGGGAAGCAACGACTATTTTCACACTTGTTTAACTCAATCGCGCTATTTAACAGTGGAAGAAAGCAAACATCGCTGGAAGAGAAGAGGCCGACGATGGAACAAAAGTGACGTCATATTTTATACTAAGAAAAAGCCGCGAACGAAATATAGTAGCTTGAAGATTAGAACACAAAGATTGAAGAAGGCTAGACCCGAAAATTGTTTCCTTTATAAATTACTGCCATAAATTGAGCTTCCAGAGAAAGCGGTTCAGAAAGATCCAACATTCATAAACCCTAACTACCCGGAAATGGTATTAGAGTATGTAACGTTCACGTCGATCATGCAAACTTGTGTTGCTTTTTATAAATATTCTCAATCGAGCTCAGGCAGTCTGAGTTGAAATATTTTTTTGTTTCTCAAACAGTCTAGATTGAAATATCTTTGTTTTGGGTTGATCATGTTCTAAGAAAAATGCAGTCTGAGTTGAAATTTCATTTTTTTGTTTCTCAAACAGTCTAGATTGAAATATCTTTGTTTTGGGTTGATCATGTTCTAAGAAAAATCCCTGTTGATCATGTTCTAAGAAAAATCCCTAGGATAAGCCTTACAACTTCCAGGGCTATTTTGTTTTGTTAAAGATTTAATGAGATGTAACAACTTTTTTGAATTCGAGCAACTTTTCTAAATTCGAGTTCATTTGAATAAAAGCATTTTGCATTGCCTATACAGACTGTTTTAGTTAAAGATTTAACGAGATGTAATGAATCCGGGTTCATCCGAGCACAAATGTTTTACACAGACAGAGGTAAGGTCAGGATCACAAAAACTTAATCAACCTCCTCAATGGTGGGTCCACGGTCACCGGCCGGTTGTGAGAAGGATCTTTCTCCAGTGGATCCGCCAGAACTGCCACGTTCAGGCATTGCATAAGGCATACTTGCACCAGCCCCAGCAGGACCACTGTGCAGTTTTAGCATAAGCGGCCGTACAATTTTTTCCAGATCTCTCTGATGATGTTCGAACTCTTCAGTCTCAGCAAGCTGGTTTGAATCAAGCCATACAAGTGACTCCTTGACTTTATCCAACACTTGCTTTTTCTCGGTCTCGGAAAGCTTATCCGAGCCCGGTCCCTCCAGCGCCGATTTCACACTGAAGCAATAACCTTCGAGTGAATTCTTTGCTGCGATCCGGACCCGTTGTTTGTCATCGTCGTCCTTGAATCGCTCTGCATCCTGCACCATCCGCTCGATGTCCTGTTTAGAAAGGCGCCCCTTGTCATTCGTTATGGTAATAGTGTTTGCCTTCCCTGTCGACTTATCAATCGCCGACACGTGCAGAATACCGTTGACATCCACGTCGAAAGTCACCTCAATTTGCGGAACTCCACGCGGAGCTGGAGGGATGCCAGCCAGGTCAAATTTCCCTAAGAGATTATTATCTTTGGTCATGGCGCGCTCTCCTTCGTATACTTGAATGGTCACTGCGGACTGATTGTCCGAGTACGTGCTGAAGACCTGAGTTTGTTTTGTCGGGATAGTAGTATTTCGTTTAATCAGTGGCGTCATTACACCACCGGCCGTTTCGATACCAAGCGAAAGCGGGGCCACATCTAAAAGAAGAAGGTCTTTCACTTCTTTTGATGTGTCTCCAGTTAGAATTGCTGCTTGCACAGCGGCTCCATATGCCACGGCTTCGTCTGGATTGATCGATTTGTTCAGCTCTTTACCGTTGAAGAAATCTTGGAGCAGTTTCTGAATGCGTGGAATACGTGTAGAACCACCTACAAGCACGATTTCGTGAATTGCTGCTTTTTCTAACTTTGCGTCCCGAAGAGCTTTCTCCACTGGCTCCAGCGTATTTCGAAAAAGGTCGGCACACAACTCTTCAAAGCGGGCTCGTGTGATCTGGGAATAAAAATCAATGCCCTCGAACAGTGAATCCACCTCCATAGCAGTTGAGGTCGACGAAGACAGCGTTCTCTTTGCTCGTTCACAGGCCGTCCGCAGACGGCGTATCGCCCTCTTATTTGTACTGAGATCGCGCTTGTGTTTGCGCTTAAACTCCTCGACGAAATAACCGACCATTCGGTTATCGAAGTCCTCACCACCAAGATGCGTGTCTCCAGCGGTGGCTTTCACTTCAAAGACGCCATCGTCAATGGACAGAATCGACACGTCAAATGTGCCGCCTCCCAGATCGAAGATCAATACATTTCGGTCGCCACGTTTGTGTGCGAGGTGTTCCCTTTTATCTAACCCGTAAGCGATTGCTGCTGCAGTAGGCTCGTTTATAATGCGCAAAACATTGAGGCCTGCTATCACCCCGGCGTCTTTCGTAGCCTGCCTTTGGGCATCATTAAAATACGCCGGCACCGTAATCACTGCATCCGTAACTTTTGTTCCCAAGAAAGCTTCAGCTGTCTCCTTCATTTTGACGAGCACCATTGACGAAATCTCCTCCGGGAAAAACTTCTTCTTTTCCCCCTTGAATTCAACCTCGATCTTGGGTCGGCCGCCCTCGTTTACCACCTTGAACGGCCATAGGGTCATATCGGATTGTACTGTGGCGTCATTGAACCGCCTACCCATTAGGCGCTTTACATCAAACACCGTATTTGTCGGATTCATCGCTACCTGATTTTTGGCTGCGTCTCCGATCAGCCGCTCTGTATCGGTAAACGCTACGTACGATGGCGTTGTACGGTTACCCTGATCATTAGCGATGATTTCAACTTTGCCGTGTCGAAATACTCCGACACAGGAATACGTGGTGCCAAGGTCGATTCCAATGGCGGGTGCCATAGCCAACTAAACGAGGCTTGCCGGAATCTTGACACGACCGTGCGCAACTCCTCTAGCAAAATTCTTTGAAGAACAGATGGGTCGTTTTCACGTAGTCTCGTTACCGCTGTATGAACTATGCTTTCTATCACTATTTAAACTGTCAAACACTACTCGAAACCTTCAATACCTCGTTTACGTCAGATAATCACGGCAAAACCATTCGCGAGTTCGCATACGGCTAGTATTTGTACCTGACAATAGCTAGGTAATAGGATTACTTGATAAGCATCATGATAAAGCAGGTCGACGTCATTACTAAAATGTTTGTGATTTTGAAGTTAGATATTGAAGCAAACCTTCTGGTAGGAATAGATTAGTAAGAGGCGTGCAACGTCTACGAGAAATTATGCAACTGGAATTGCGGGAATGGCATAAAACTACATGCAGCCTTCGCAAACAAAAAAAAAATTGGTTAAACAAGATGGGTTCAAGTTGAATACTATTTGTATCTATTCGAGATTTGGCGCTGGCAAATGGAAATTGAGCCTTAAGGCCTGCTAATAAAAAGTTTTGATTATGCCTCACTTAACAATTTCTTTCCAGTTTGCTGTAGCCTTAATGTAATCGGCATTAATTCATTGATATGGTCCTTTACAAGTGAGATTTTTGGGAAGGTCGTTTCATTTTCAGTCTCGTATTGCTCGCATTGTCACAGAATCAACATAAATTCATTTTCAAGAAAAGTCCGGAGTTTCTGTAGTCATGCTAAATTTGGCGGTAAAAATTTATCAGCCGTCCTAATTCACTAAAATGAATAAAAATTGTGCAAGCTAAGTACAATTCGTCGAATCTGTAAGGCTTTTTTTTTTTAATTTTAACCTCAAATGCAAGGTCCTCCAGTACTAAAGAGGCTGTATATCTCTCGTTTGTAGCTTGTAATTGTAATAGTACGTTTTACTGGGTAAATATCCCAATACGCCCTTCTAGGAGAAATCAGGTAAACTCAGTTTCGGCGACTGATTTAGGTATAGTTAACGAATGCGCTTCAGCAAACGTCTTATCACGTCATTTTTCAGTTTCCCAATTCAATAACGATTGTTGAATATTATTCAGATTATTGAGAATACATCCTGCACACATCTCTTTAAAAAGAGGTTATAATACCATTAGCAGTATTCTTGTCCTCTTCTATTGTTAATAGAAATAAATGCAGTTTTTTACATAGATGGAGTGCGCAGAGGACACGACGATCTTTGGTCATAAACGCGTTGTTTCATAATTGAAACAAAGACCATAAATTCCATATGCTGAAGGGAGAAGCTGAGACTGATTGTAGTGACCTCATTTAGCCCTTTCGGTGTTAAAATATATTCAAACTCATCTTGTAATATCGTGAACTCCTGACAAAAAAGTTAGATGGCTTTGCGCAATCGTCCGTGAAGACAACATAACTATAAACGAATAATACTCTATGTATTGCTGCTTTAACCAAATCGTAGATGGTGACAACAAGAAATATTCTGCACTGTTGTTCATTGAGCTTTTTTTTTTTTTACAATTTTTATGCTTTCCATTCTTAGGCTAAACAATTAGTCCCCTTTTTGACAGTGAACCAGTTGTCATTACTACATCTCTGCTATCAATCAACGACGGGTCAACTAATTTAATTGTAGTGAGATAAATTAAGGGTAGGAATTTTTTATCGTATTCCGAGCGTATCAGGTAGGTATGTTCCAAAGAAGACCTAGCGACTGCTTCGATTGCCTAGCAATCGCTTTGCCCGCAAGGTGACGACCCACTGCTGACTTAAAAACCGGCTATTAGGCTAAACCTGCCGTGAGATGTTCGAGCAGCCATACTGTGTGAACGTATGTTTATGCGTGTTTAGGCGTGCAAACGCCCGGGAGGTTAAAAAAAAAACTTAACTTGTAATGCTCTTTCACAAAAGAAATTCAGCCCGTCTGCCTAACACTTTTTATTCCGCTATAAGGTTTATCTTACGTTATACTTAAACCTTATGTCAACTTAGTCGTTACCAAATCTTCAATAGTCCTTGTTTTTGTTTGGTGGATTAATTATAAACATTAAGCAATTAAGGAATTCCTTAGAAACTGATTTAAAAAATGTGCCGATTTGGGAACATCAAAGCTAGTATTAATGTCTAAAGTGCAAATCGTTGCTGGCACCAAGAATTTTGCGCGTCGATAACGCTGATTGCCAATATTACTTGGTGGATAAACGCTATAAGTTAAAACAATGGCTCGTACCTCTAATACGATGTAATTGTTTTCTACAGCACCGTAAGCTGTCCGAAACTGATGACCTGAGAATGTAACTGTTTTAACTAGTAACTATAGTATTAGGTAAGTTCAATACGATGTAAAGCATATTGAAACCCTGCACGGTTTCAAGTTTAAGTTCAAAAATTTATTTTGAGATAACCATTGATCTTGGTTTGAATAAACCATATTGTCCATAGCCCGTTAGTGGATTGATTGACTGAATTGATTTCCACCTGTTTTCAGACGGCGCTTAGAGGTTGCCATTTTCCTCTTAGTTTTCTTTATGGAACAGCTACCGCGAACTGTGGTGCATCTTCAGCATCAAAGGCATCGCAACCTTTTGAAGTTCCCTGCGACGGTCCTCGAATTCGTCCTTCTCTGCTAATTGGTTATCGTCAATCCATTGGACAAGTTCAGCCACCTTGTCAAGCACTGATTGAATATCTGTTTTTGATAGCTTGTCGGCGCCTGGGCCTTCGAGGCTCGCTGATACACTGTAGACGTAATTTTCAAGAGCATTCCTTGACGCAATGCGCGCTTTATGTTTCTCGTCCTCAGCCTTAAATCTTTCAGCGTCCTTAACCATCCGATCAATATCGTCCTTGGACAGTCGCCCTCGGTCATTCGTAATGGTGATTTTCTCTTTGTTGCCCGTCGATTTGTCCACTGCCGACACATTGAGGATCCCGTTAGCGTCAACGTCGAACGTTACCTCAATTTCGGGCACTCCGCTCGGTGCAGGCGGGATTCCCTTAAGGTCGAACTCACCTAGAAGGTTGTTATCTCTAGCCATAGTTCGCTCGCCTTCATAAACCGCGAACGATACAATGGTCTGATTGTTTTCGCAGGTAGTGAAAATATCCGTCCTTCGCGTCGGTATCGTCGAGTTTCGTTTGATGATAGTGCACATCTCGCCCCCCTTTAACTCGGTTCCAAGGGACAGCGGCACCACATCAAGAAGCAGAAGATTCTGGACGGCCTTAGACTTATCGCCGGCTAGGATGGCCGCTTGTACAGCGGCACCGTAAGCGACAGCTTCGTCCGGATTGATCGATTTGTTTAGCTCCTTGCCATTGAAGAAATCTTGGAGTAACTTTTGAATGCGCGGAATCCGTGTTGAGCCGCCGACCAGCACAATATCATGGATTGTTTTCTTGTCCATCTTCGCGTCACGAAGGGCTTTCTCGACGGGGCCGAGTGTCGAACGGAACAGATCAGAGCAGAGCTCTTCAAAGCGTGCACGGGTGATCGTCGAATAGAAATCGTTTCCGTCAAAGATTGAGTCAACCTCAATCGACGCCTGTGTCGACGACGAAAGCGTCCTCTTCGCGCGCTCACATGCGGTACGAAGTCGACGAAGGGCCCGTTTGTTTGTAGACAAATCAGTTTTGGTCTTATTCTTAAACTCTTTCACGAAATGGTTTACCATACAGTTGTCGAAGTCCTCGCCACCGAGGTGCGTATCACCAGCGGTGGCTTTCACTTCGAACATGCCCTTATCTATCGACAAAACAGATACATCAAACGTTCCACCGCCTAAATCGAAAATCAGAACGTTACGTTCGCCTTCACCAGCGCCTTTCTTTTTATCGAGTCCATAGGCGATCGCTGCTGCCGTTGGCTCGTTTATGATACGAAGCACATTGAGACCAGCGATCAAGGCCGCATCTTTCGTTGCCTGACGCTGCGAATCGTTGAAATATGCCGGTACTGTGATAACGGCATCGGTTACCGTATTTCCTAGGTAAGACTCAGCGATTTCCTTCATCTTCATTAACACCATTGACGAGACCTCTTCTGGCAGAAAGGTCCGATTCTCACCTTTGAATTCGACCTGAACTTTCGGCTTTCCCTGGTCGGCCACGACTTGAAACGACCAGTGTTTAATATCCTTCTGCACTGCAGGATCATCGAAACGACGTCCAATAAGTCGCTTAGCGTCGAATATCGTGTTCGCCGGGTTCATAGCCACCTGGCTTTTTGCGGCGTCACCAATTAGCCGTTCGGCCTCAGTGAATGCAACATACGATGGGGTGGTACGATTTCCCTGCTCATTTGCAATTATTTCCACTTTGCCATGACGGAACACGCCAACACACGAATACGTCGTGCCCAGATCAATTCCAATGGCTACACTGCGCTCTGACATTTTCTCTGTTTGTTGAGTCATTTGTTGCTTAGTATCTCTCCGATTAGCTCGATGTACAATCAACAATACACAAGGCGACTTCGTTAGCTCAGCAAATCTAAGAGACGTTCGAGTTCCCGAGTACCGTTTTGGTCTAACGATCTGGTGTCGGTGACCAGCAACGCGGATAGCGTTTACGCGAAATTAAACATAAAAAAAGATATAGTTTTCTCGGCAGTTCCAATTGTTAGAACGAACTACGGCGCCGTACAAGTACTTCAGCCGGTGCCGCTCGGTGAAAAGCGCATGGCGCCAAACGGATGAATGCATCGATTCGCTCGAGGTCAAAATAAGCTATCGGACCAGAAAGATGGGAGAGGGGTTGGAACGTCTGCAATTGACTGAGAATGGCGCCATATTCAATTTGTATATGAATTCATGTTATGCACAAATAACCTCGTTTATTAACGTAAATTAGGTAATTATGTGTTGCTTAAAGCGGCGACGCCCGATCGCTCTTCATCAGCGGCTGGACCGCTCTAGCTACAACATTGATTTTTAGTGAAGATTAAATTATATATAGCAATTATTAATTGCTACCAATGCGTTCGGCCACTAAATAAAAGATGAATAAGTTTTACCGTTGGGTGGAAATATATTATAAAGACACAAACGTTGGTTGAGATCGTTTACGTTTTTATAGTAGTCTTACATCCGCTACAGTGTACATAATGCAACATACGATATATGCCCTCTATATAACTATTAAATGAGTGTACCATTTATTTTGCGTAGCTTTTTGGAAGAGCGTGTCCGCTAAAACCAGTGCTCAACAAATGTAATTCGTTTTAATGCTAAATAGTAACTCGTTATTGATGACGTATGATACGGAAATTTTTTTTCTGTAAAAATGCACTTTGTTTTTTCCAATTTTGCATGGCTCCCGAAGTGATTCATCATTTATGATAAATCATAGTGGAAGAGTGCTGTAACGCCGCCAGCCATATTGAAGATCCATTACCCGAGCAAAGATTATAAAGCAAGCAGTTTTTACGTTAATACGTAACAATACGTTAATAACAACTAGTCATTTATTGAGGTTGTATGTCTAATAATGTGTATTCAACGCCAACATTTGTTAGTATTCTATACAATAACATTTGTCTGTAGGTGACTTCTAAATTTAACGAAAGCTGGTAATGTGCTTACTAGAATCATTCTTGTAAAATAAGGGTAAGTAGTTAACTGCGGGCACGGTAGATGGCATGTTTTGCGTGGCTAGCGTTACTTTGTTGCTTCATACTAAGTGACTCCGCAGAGCCTTGGTCGGTCTCTTGACAAGTATACAATTGCTGATACCGTTTTGACTATTTCAAACATTGTCGCTTACTGTGTACTACTGTAATTACAGGAATCTGATAATAACTGGGCAGTTCCGGACGACGAGGAAGGGTGCCATTATTTAATTTTACTCATTTCGATTTCAACTTCTAACGACGCACGGTACACTTCTCCACACCTTGGCGAATTCCGAATAAAAGAGTCTTTGAAGTCTTGAAGTAAATGGTCGTTCATTGCCGTTAGCTTCTTGAGTCTCAATAAGATACGTTGTCTACCAAGTTGCTGAGAGAAGATCTGTAATCAAGCATCTTCTCTCGATGTCCGCTCACGGTATATCCAAGCGTCTTCTACGAACAATATTATACCCTGGGACTAAAGTTTACATAGTGAACTAAAGCTTATTTATGCCAACTTAACTTTGTTTTTGTTTTTTTTTTTAGCTATGAAAACATATCTATAAACTTACATTAGAGACGGTGTAACATTTAAACGAAGTAAATTGGAGTACGTTTCTAAAATTATGGATCAACCACATATACCAAACAACCAACTTTTGATTTCAGAAAATAATTACTACCGTGTACAGCTGCCTAACACTTAGATATCAAACAATACGTTTTCCCTGTTTACAAAAAACGATTTCGAATAAAGGCAATGATCAACGATGATCATTAAAATCTCACCACGAAATTTTAAATACCGGTTACATAAATCGAAAAAGCCGGGAGTGCACCTAATATATAACAACACATTATTTTATCAATAAATACTTGTTTACAAAGAACAATAACATTTATTACTTTGACACATTACAACCAAGTTTGGCGTTTAGACGAATGTTATTTGGATGGCGTCTCGAGGCAACTAGAAAATGGAGAAATCAGCCTGGTATCTGATTTCTTCAGAAAGAAATAAAAGCGACGTTCTTAAGAGTACTGGCAGTTAATGTCAGGATTTCCCGCTGATCGGAGACAATGGAATATAGTTATACTTTCATATCTGTATCTATTTTTACATCTTCATTAAAAAGACGGAGCTGATATTTTACTTCATTGAGACCATCTCTCTCTGTCGGAATATTAAGCCCCGATTTGGACACGTATTGACGATTTGTTTGGCCGTCCAGGCTAAATAGAACCAACCGCGAACTCCGCACATCCAAAGTAGTTCGAATGCCGATGCATTAGGGTTGCATAATTAAAAAATTCGTAAGTTAGCGTCTTTCAACGAACAGGACGGTAACCTATGCTCCACGTTAAAGTCTATCTTGGATAATACAAATACTACATATGCTTATAAATCATATAAGCCACTCGAGCTTGTGTGTCTTCGGATGCTCTACTTCCTTGGGCACTTACTTCCGCGGTTCCCCGAGAACTTTCTGGGCTAGACCACGCTGAAGGGCTTCTCGCTACTGGGCCATCAATGAAACAGACCCGCCTCCCTGAAAGTGACACTAAATCGTTGATGGGCAGGATCTCCGGGCTGGAGCCATGTACCACGCTGAGACCAATCACCATCCGAAACATTAGCACCCAAAGGAAAAAGGACATGTCTTTAGGAGCAGCTGAATTGCAGCCTACAACTACATAGAATCCCTTGAATTAAACCATTCGATTCAGTAAGACGTTTGCGAGACGATAGTTCGTCGGGCCAATACAGTTTAGTCCGGCCATAAAGTCACCGACTTAAAAAGGATGGGCTGCCTCTTACAGGCCTTTTTCAGGCCGATGTCGCAGGCGAGTTCAATAAAAATGACACAGTCCCCACCTGCTCACAGCAGCCTCCATGCAAGCGTTCCAGGAACCAAAATGTGTAATTAATGTCAACCTTGTTTTGAACTTTATTGAAAAATTAGACCTGAAAAAGGCTTGCTGTCTACCGACAAACCTAAACACTTTTCCAGTTATCCTGCTTTCAGAAGTTGTTGTAATTGAAATAAAGGCTCTTTCTGATTTCTATTTTTGCTGACGCTTCTTCATAAACACCTATTTTGCAAAAACCAAACAGTTACTTTAGTGTATCAAATAGTCAAAACCGCGGCTCCCTGCCGTTCAAACGCATAGCCTATCAGAAAGAATAACAAAGTTATGGCAGTCAGACCTGTATATATATATATTCACAATGGATAATGTTGTCATGTGATGTCACCTATATTTTAGTTGGTTGCTGTCGCATCTTCGCTCTTGCGGAACGACAGAGATTGTCTTGTATACATACGTATACTTTATTAGAACGGAAATAATAACAATTGCTAGACCTTTAGACATGTTTATATGTCCACAGTCTTGCTTCGTAACGCAATACAGCATCGGAAACGCAAGTCCCCTTTTACTATTTAAACGTTTTACTAGAAACCATTCTGAGCGAATGCGGAAACGTGCGTGGCACGATCGCATTAAACTATAGTCGTTGAAAAAGTTTAACACTTTGCCCTCATCCCCAAAGATGGCATTGTCGTAGAGAACGTCGTAAAAGCGAAGTAACGAACAACGGAGGGTAGGCACTTGATAAATAGCCCGGAAACTTCGGAAGGCTGAGTCGATCGTGGCTGATAAATGGAGTTGATTGAGGAACACACATAAAATGGGACTAGGGCTAGGCAAATGGTTGGCAGGAGGACCACGATACAAATGTTCAGTCGTCTACTCTTGTACGTGACTCTTATCGTATAAGGCGGTTTATGAACGAACAAAAATTGGGCTGTGATGCATTGTGCATTATACCGAGCGGCAAGCTGAATCTTCAGAAGAACGTGTCCGCGTAAATTCAATGCTCTCTTATATCTTTAATAATCAAGTTGTTGTGGTGGTGCTCCAGTGGCGTATCAACGCTCTAACAACAAGATTGCGCATTGATGAGAACACTTACTGTTAACATTAACTAATATTATATAATATAAATTAAATAATGATTGTATTAAGTGTTAGGTATAGATGTATTCAACCTTCACTTTAGAAGCAGGAAGAAAGCTGGTTGGACACATCTTCAACAACATAAAATAAAACAGGTATTCTGTGCGTTCTTAGCCGGAGCACGTATCTGATATGCTGCTAGACTGTAAATCCACTAAACGTCTCGCTATGAAAACGTTAGGCTGCAACTAAAACAGTTGGAGTGCATGCAAGAGACTATTTTAGTCTCCCGTGTCCTCCATCGGTTTAGTTTTAGAAAATTCCAACAAGTGATTCACCCAGGACTGGCCCAGGACGTCAAACTTCTACTTGATTAAGTTCTTTACAATGATTAAGCTCGTTTTGACTGCGGATGCTACGATTGTCATGACGAATTGTTCTCAAAGATATATGGCCTCAAACAGGCTGACAATAATCTCGCGGAATCAGATCAAAGAAGTGATAAAATAACATTATTTTAGCACTAATCATTATACTTGTAGTAGATGTTTTACAATGCAATATTGTATTTAGATGTTATTTAACGAAAGACCCAAACTATGATCTATATGTCGTTTGTTTCATATAGGCGTTCTTCAGCTCTATATGAAGTGAAGAGCGGATCTGTGCACGCGATTATCTTCCAAGTGCAGATAAACGGCCTCAAAGGTCTTGCGGCTAAGAAACGCAAGGTTACGCTAAACCCTACATTTGCCATCGTGTCTGGGAATTCACTCCGTTCACTTACGTGCCTCTATAAAGCAACAGTACTATTCCAATATGGCTGTAATAAGCAGCGCCGTGCAAACGGACCCACTGTACGACCCGTACGCCGTATAGTTTCACGACGGCCACCGTGGCGGGCGAAATGACCAACGGATCACATTTGCCATTATGATGACGAGTTTGATAGTCAGGTAATAGTCGTGTCTGATCAGAATATTACATATTGAAACTGGTTATATTTTTGTTATTGAAGATAAACATTCAGCGCAGTTATTCGTGCTGATAGAACACATTTAGTTCTTTCTATAACTGTAAGTAATTGGAAGATCTCTAGAACGA